AACTCCAGCGGGCTTTGCGTTCGAGACCTAACTATACAGATGTCTACATAGCTGCTGCAGGGGTTCTGATTCCCGGTGAAAGTGTGATTGTTGTGTGAGATCAGGTTACACCTTCTCTCGGTGCTCCTGGGGAGTCGCTCGGGCTTCACGCTGTGGCAAGGGCTGCAGTGCTCCAGCTGGGTGTCCATGTGTCGGCACAGCACTAAGAGAAGCTTCCTCAACCCTGGTGGAAGTCCAGATTCCCCCTCTGCGGTTATGGGAAACCAGCAACTCTGCAGGACACCTGCTATGTCACATCAGATCGATCTTGGCTGTAATTTAAAATTAGCTCGTCGACTTGAACAAAAGCCCAAGCTAGTCCTGAACCCTATAACTTAACTAAGGCTCCCTCTGTCAATAGGTGATACAATTCTGGCCATCCTTTTGTTCAGTCGTCCCGGCCCAGTTGTCCCGGCCCCCATTAAATAATTCGTTTCGGTCAGGGCTATTTGATGGGTTAATTGTGTCGAGTTTCAGGTGAACTTTGGCCTTCAGATGGGGTCATATACCCTAGCTAAAATCAAAACCTGAATTATGTACCTGGGGGGGATATAACCTATATAGGGGTTTAACCAGGGAGGATCAGACCTATCTGTAACTGCCCAAGCCATTATAATTGTGGCTCACAACCAGCGCGAAAAAACGCCTAGCTAAGTATCATCGATACACTATTGGCCCCACATAGATTGTATACTGTTTGTGAACTATATGCATGCAATTATGAAGTCGTGTATGTCCTGTATTGAACCGGGATCTACGAAGATAGCTAAAACCCGGATTTACCAAAAATGTGTTTCAACAGCCTGACTGAACCAAACCTTGGCCACCAAACCTTTCCACAAACAAGCTTCCGTTAAACGCCCTGGCCTGCAACCCTGCGACCATATATCTCTCAAGACCCGAATCCCTAACCTGTCAGAAACTGAATAGTAACCCGGCCGAATAGTGGTTGAAAACATACTACATGAATGTATGGTTCGTAGCCAGGCCTATACTATACGTATACTACTGACGGATGCTTTGGCTATACTCTTGCTGGCATACTTTATTTGCATTGGTCCTTAATATGGTCTATATACTACCTAGAGGAAACGTGGGTAGTTCGGATCTTGCTATGCCATGCAATTCTCGATAAGCATGGTCCCGAAAATCATCAACACAATCACGGGCTACGTGGCTCCTTCTACTGGGACTTAGATGTTCTGGGTTGAGCTCTAGAGTATGTGCTAGCTAGCTAACATACCTGCTGAAGTAGCTCTGCAACTGCCGTAGCCTCTCCTGCCCGTCGGAGAAGCAAGCCAGCTGATTGCCTCGGGAGGACCATTCTCATTTCACTACTGTGTGTGGCCATGCAAGCCAACTGGGTCATTGAGCAGCCTGGATCATCCTTAATCTGGCGGCATCCTCGCTTCCAGTGGCTTTGCAAAACCCACCAGGCCCAAACGCTTATCAAATTAATGCAGTATAGCCAGATAATGCCCGCTATAAAAAGTAAACTGACAATAACCTGGAATCTTCGAAAGGAGTCTATGCTACCTAGTCAGAGTATTTGTTTGCATGGTTTCAAACATATTGAACCTAATCCCTGCCCCAGTTCCTGTTGGACCGCACAGGTGTATGTGTGCAGATTCTGGATGATGCACTTTGGACACAAGTGTCCAAAGAGAACTGCTTTATGGTCCTGCAACCGCAAAGTTTTGAAGTTCGGCAAGGGCAAGCTGACTTCTGGTTTCAAGAATCAACAGCGGAAGCTTCGTGGTGATATTCGTACAGTGGTTCGTAAGTGTGGAAAAGACGGCACGATGAAATATTCGGGAAAACCTGAAGTCTTGAAGGAATCACAGACACACGGCCACAGTTCAGAAGTCCCTATACCGATATTGTCCACAGCTCATGCAAAGCCGCAGAAATCCCATATCCCCTGAAAGACGTACTTAAGAACCCAACCCATTTCATAGCCCAGGAAGTACACCAAAGCCTTCGCCGCCGAAATGGCCGAGCTCCTGCCGAGCTTCAATGAATCTCGGCCCTTCCGATGTACAGCCATGGTGAATGCCTCAACGGTTAATAGGCTTCGGGACATGGATGTGGGTGAGGACGATTGGTCCGATGCAGGTGTTCCTGAGCTACTACGGTATGTGTATGGAGCCAAAGGGTTGGTCATCCCAACAGAGTGGAGGCCCTGTTTCCCGAGACATCTTTTTGCATAGCAGGCTGTTGCCACGGCAAGCATATCGTATGTCAACATGCACGTACTTGCTTATTGCATGCATATAAGTGTTGTATCCTGTGCGAGCATGAGGAGGCTTCCTGTCTATGCTGGCAGATGTGCAGACTTTTGGGTCGGTTGACTGTCGGTGTGCAATCCTCAGCTGGGCATAGCCCATCCATGCCTTTTCAGGGCCAGAGGATATCTTCTATAGAGGCCTTTCAAGGATCCACGCAGGTCTTGTACACCAATAGCCGGGATTCTGGGTCTATGGAGACTTGCTTTGCCGTATATAAGAATCACCGCATGCAATCTATGCATGAAGGGCATCAACAATTCTTCTATGGGTACCAATAGCAGAATTAAGAATTGTGACACTGGTTCCACTTTGCGAGTCGTATAGATCGATGCTAGCTTACTTATCCAGGCCCCATGAAGCCTAGTCTCGTCAGCTAGAGTCTACGTGCATGCAGCAGATCCACGCTCTGAATAACCGCACAACCGCCTCTAGATTGCAAGTCTTTCGAAATATTTCAACAGTACAGTATGTTGCGAAAATCCCAACCCCGATAGGTGGTTAAATTCGGGGGTGTATAGGTTCGAGTCCTGAAACCTTACAAGTCCGCGGCCACTACACAAACCTGAGCCTATATAGCGCGCTATGTGGACCTGCACCATGGAAGTCATATCGATCCTCGGATATCCTTGATCCATTCAGATCCACCCTGAAAACCTTAGTAAGTGAGCATCTATGTAGTACCCGCGGCCACGCAATCCGGCCCTTCTAGCCAAAAAGTGTGCTATAGCTTCTGTTGGGGATTGTGCGATACAGTACTACCTGCTCAGTGAGCGACCTAAGTGGTCACTTAATTCGGTGTGCTGCCGAGTTGCAGGCCTGTGTGAGATGCGCAGTATATGTCATGCAGTCGCAGCAGCAGCCATGCAGGGATTTGTGCGTGGTCCTAAAGACGTTGTCACTGGGCTTTTGTTATGCTATTCAGGCCGGAGACTATACTTAATTTAGGGCTTACCAGGGCTACAAAGTTCGATCTTCACAGTTCGGAGGGAATGTTGCCAAATTGCGCCGGGGCTTGCATATCTGCTATAGTGCTTCATATAGAGCGAATTGGAGGGTTCCATGGGTCTCATGCAATTGTTGATAGGCTCTGCGCACTTTAGCACTATAGAAGTCTTTGGGCTTTGGTTTTGGAGAAATGCAGGCTCTATATAGGTTTTGCGCAGCGTATGTGCCACGGGTGATATAGGTGGGATGGGGGTGGTGTTTGCAGGGCTGTGTGCTTCAGGTTTGGAGGGTTGAGGGCTTCAGGTTCGGAGGGTTGTGAGGTTTCACGTTTCGAGCGGGCTCTGGGCTGCGGGGTTGTTGTGGAAGGCTGTCACGAGTGCTTTTCGGAGAGCTCCGGGCTTCAGGGCTGTGGGGCTGGATGGCTTGATTTGGGGCTGTCCCGGAGGCTGCATGGGTTTGGACTTTGGACAGATGGATCTTATAAGAACCCGGCCGGGGCCAACCTTGAAACCCAAAGCCCACCACCGTGAAAGCCCACAGCCCAGCCAGAGTTAAGCCTAGCTGCAGCTATACAACCCTAAAGCCCGCAGCCCTTTAATTAAAGCCATGAAAGACCACAGCCCTGAAAACCCACAGCACTCCCATGCCAAAGTAAAGCCCTTAACCCCGTTCCTTCCAAGCCCCTAACCCCAAGGCCGAACCTAGAAGGCCCGCAACCCTAAAAGCCCGCAGCCCAGCAAGCCTCCCCGCCCGCAGCCCTCAAAGCCGCAGCCCGGAAAGCTCGCACCCCCGAAAGCCTGCAGCCCTGAAAGCCCGCAACCCTCAAACCCCGCATGCAAGCCTCAAAGCCCGTCAAAGCCCGCAACCCTGAAACCCCGCAACCCTGAAACCCCGCAACCCTGAAACCCGGTTAACACCAAAACCCCGCAACCCTGAAACCCCGCAAGCCTGAAACCCCGCAACCCTGAAACCCAGATAACCCCAAAACCCCGCAACCCTGAAACCCCGCAACCCTAAAAGCCCGCAACCCTGAAAGCCCGCAACCCTAAAAGCCCGCAACCCCCCAAAGCCCGCAACCCTGAAAGCCCGCAACCCCCCCAAAGCCCGCAAGCCTGAAAGCCCGCAACCCCTATACCTAGAGACCCCTTAACCTTTATAAAAGTAGGTCGGGATTCAGGAACTGCGTTCTCGAGGCCATTTCGGAAAGAACTGCGTTCCTTCCCTAAGAACCTGGTTCTTAAGTATGTATCCAGATAGAGTGTGGAAACACAGTAAAATGTTACGAACATCTCATATCCCTGGCGGCCTCGACAGGTTGCACTTCGCCGTGACATTGATCGGCTCAGGGCTGCTTAGGGCTTTGTTATTTCTTGGATGATCTAAATAACCCTTAGCAGGCTTATAGTGGCTTTCGCAAGGGTTGGTGCATATTCAGGTTTCAGCTTTATATAATTCAGATTTGGAAGGGATTGTTTCCCGAAGGACAGGTCACTCGAATTTCCACATAATCTCATCCGCTTACAAAGTGCGCATGGCTTTTCGCTTGCGAGCACCACGAGAAGATGCCGCTAGTCCGAGGCCCAGCTCAGCCTCATCCGTCAGTCCTGCAGGGACAGTGAGGTTGCCAGCGACATGTGTGCCAATCTCAACCGTGTCTTTCTGTCGATCTGCTCAAGAAAGGTTTTGTATAGCTGTGTGTGCGTGCGTGTGTGTACTTGCTCCAGCACAATGGAGCCCGAGCAGGAGTCGTCTCCTGATGGCATGAGTGTGGAGGGCCTTGCTACCGAATGGGATGCCGTCCCTGAGCTCCGAGAACTCATGCGCACAGGGCGTGCGCTGTTTTCAGAGGCCTCTGAAAAACAGGTTGACAAGAACACCCCAATCAAGAACGAAGCGGTGCTGCTTCCCTTGCTGTCTCGCATGCAGATGGCTGGCAAGGTTTTGCCGAACATCGAGGATCTTCGGACTGAGGTCAGAGCCTTCTATGTCTTGTGCAAGCGCGAGTTCCATGAGGTTGATGATGTTCACCGTGCTGCATGGTTGATTCGAAAGAACTTGGTCTACATGAAGATGAAGTGTAGAAGAAGAGAATTTTCGACTGTTTCTCGCTTGCAACATATTACGGCAGCATGCACTTCATACTTAAGCTCTCAGACTGCTGCTTATGTGAGCTGTGTTCGCGATGATAAACAAGGACAGCACCTTCCAGAAGCTTTGCTTGACCCTCTCGCCAGAGCTCCAGGCCAGATAACAGTTGGGAGTGTCAGTGCAACCGTCCTGCTATACTATATGAGTGGGTCTGCTCCTCTCACTTTTGTTGCTTCCTCGTGCTGTTTGGGTCCTGCTTTGTTATCATCTCATATCATTGGGCAGCTGTTCACGGGGGGCTCAGCCATGTCAGAACCCTCTGTCAGTTCTTGCTTGTCAGGAAGAAGTGGATGCTTTCAATGAGAGACAACGCTCGCGAAGCAGCAGGTCCGCTTTAGATGCTTGGACTCATTTCGCCATTCTCTTGAAGCCGGTTTTGCAAGTCTGCTTTGGTTTTGTTGGTGTTGCATGGACACGAGGATCCCGATGTCATGGATTCAGATGAAGATGCTTGGGAGGAGGGTGGCCCTGACGACAATGATTCTGCTGATGGTGACGAAGCCGATATGGATCCGGCTGCTTTGTTGGATCGGTTTCGCTCCTTGACGGGGCAAGCCGAAGACGCTCGGGCTGCAAGTGCCGATCCACCCAGCGGCGAGGGCTCTCTGGGTGCCGATGATGTTCCTCGCCCAACCGAGCGAGAGATGGAGGAGCTCGAAGCTGAGGCGGCCCCACCACGTGTGGAGCAGCCTTCTGAGGATCCGATTTTCGGGCCGTTCCCCGTGATTTGCATCGACGATGAGGAAGACAAGGCGCCGGAGCCAGAGGTGACGCCGCCTGTCAAGGTGACATGGACCTCGACGGCCCAAGACGGTCTCTTTGATGCATGGGTTGCGAAGAGTGCACAAGAGATTTCGTGTAATTTCGCAGCCTCTCCGAGGAAAGGCTCTCGAACTGAAGAGACTTCGCTTGGAGGCGATCAAGAAGAAGTTGAAGCAGTGGCTTGGCTTCGCAAAAAAAATGACAAGATCCTGGTTTCCTACCTTTGGGCTTGGGGGCTTGGTGATGGCATCTGAGGCTTCGGAGCAGAAACAATGGTGGTTGCAGGAGCTCGCCTTCAAAGGCATCGGCCGCCCCGCCTTCAGGACCGGTTACTATATATCTAAGTTTCTACGCTCCGAATATAGAGAGAGAGAGAGAGAGAGAGAGAGAGAGAGAGAGAGAGAGAGAGAGAGAGAGAGAGAGAGAGAGAGAGAGAGAGAGAGAGAGAGAGAGAGAAGGAAAGAAAGTGAGAAAGATGTTTGTGCATGTTCCTGTTTCCGACAGGACATGCTGAGTATGTCAATACGCAGGCGGCCTCGGATGATGATGAGACCCTGCCCCATGACATTATGCAGGTGCCGACAGCACCTGAGCCTGCTGAGGCTGAGGTTTCGGATATGGAGGTCGGGGCCGATGCTTTGAGAAGATCCTATCAGTACGGGGCACGCTTGGGAGATTCCTCGGCAGTGACTTTGGTCTTGGGTGAGCACATGGATGATTCGGCGGAGACTTTGGTTGACGACGAGCCAAGCCCCGACAACGAAGCTACTCAAGAGGCTTTGGTTGAGGGTGAGCCGCACTCCGATCAGGAAGAACCGCCAGATGAGCCGCAGTCCGATCTGCAGACTTTGGTTGAGGGTGAGCCGCAATCCGATCATGCAGCTGTCGCCGAGACTTTGGTTGAGGGTGAGCCGCAGCCCTTCACGCCTGACCAGGACATTGGTTGATTGCAGGGGTTACTTCCGATGTCAATTAGCCATGCATGGTTCAGTTTGAGTGATGTATCGTTTCCGCTTTTGCTTGGGCAGGATGACGAGGAATACATCACTCGAAAGGACCAGTTCGTCTCAAAGAGAGCAAAGCATGAGGCGGAGACTCGGGGTGCAGGTCGCCGGAAGGCCAAGCGGAGCTCCCGCTCGGCCCGGAGATTGTCTGTGTTGCGCAAACGCAACAAGAAGCGCCGAGCGACCAGAGATGCAGATGGACATGATTCGTGGCACCCCGAAGAAGAGGAGCAAGAACCACCAGAGACCCCGCCCAAAGCAGAAGAGAGTGCGCCAACGAAGTCGGGAAAGGCGAGACGATCGAAGGGAAAATCCTTGAGAGAGAAAGCCGAGCCAAAGCGGAAATCCCACCCAAAGGCGAAAGCCGAGCCAAAGCGGAAATCCCACCCAAAGCCGAAATCCCAGCCAAAGCCGAAATCCCAGCCCAAGGCCAAAGCCGAGCCAAAGCGGAAAGCCGAGCCAAAGCGGAAATCCCAGCCAAAGCCGACATCCCAGCCAAAGCCAAAATCCTCGGCAAAGGCCAAGGCTAAGCGCTCGGCAAACAAGAAATTGCAGAGGGTCGAGGATGTGTTTCCGGTTTTGCACAGCGAGCACGAGCTCTACGACAGTGATGCGATCTTTCAGATTACGGGCTCGGTCTGCAGGTTCACATCGAAAGGCCCTGATACCGAGCAGCTCCGCAAGGAACTGCGCAAGGAGCTGGATGTGAAGCTATCCTGTGTCTATCTGAATATCTACTGGACAAAGCTCCGAACCGGCTTGCATATCAAGGCGAGCAACCGCGACTACTTCCTTCAGTCTTTCTACATGGAGCACAAGGCCGGTGGTGTGGATTGGAGCTTGGCCATGGCCCTTTCGATCAAAGTTGCCCAAATCATAGTTTCTTGGTTGCATGTATCTGTTGATGCCTTGATAGGTGTATGGAGTTTTGTTTCATTTCGAGTTAATTGTCTGAGGCTTCGAACGTCAACGAGCTCATCGAGGGCTCCATTGCAGAGCTTTCCGATGATGCCGATGCAACAGCTCGGGACAAAGCTGTGGAGGCCGTGATGGCAAGGGCAGATGTGCTCCGCATGAAGGATATGATCAGGTACAATGGTGGTCTGGTCATGAAGCGGCTTCTCGGGCACTCTGAGTGAGCCCATGCACTGCAGCGCTGCAGCATGGTTGCCAGAGTGTAGTGTATGTGCAAAGATCAGCGGGATAGCTGCCCTGTGAGGGGTTGCAAATGATTTCTCAAGTTTGCAGGGGCAACAGGTAAAGCAGAGCCTGTTTGGTTCTTTGCCATGACTCTTGGCGGCCTTTTGGAGGCACCAGCCTTTAAAGCTGAGATCAGCTTTGCTTTTGAAGGGGGAAGACGATGGGGCTGCTGCATGCTTGCCGAAGCTTTTATCAGTGATAATGTAGCACATGCTGTCTGCTCGCAGTAGCCCCGTTTCTCGAAGAAGTTTCGTGCTTGTCTTGATCGGTATCACTGGCCGGCTTTGAAAATATCGTCGTATGCGATGGCTCTCATGTTTTTCTATGCTCGGCCTTTCATCACATATGCATGCAGTCTTGTGTGTAGCTGCCCGAGGCCCGGATGTGGAAGATACGGGCGGATGCCCAGAGGAAGAAGTGCCCTCGCCGCCACGTTTGTCATTTCTGAGCTGAGCACCTAAACCCTAAACACGATAACCTTATAAACCCTTACCAGCTCGACCCTATAATATAGTAAACCCTGTAAACCCTATAAACCCTTAACCTCTCAATGTGTGAAGTATAGTGTGAATGCATCTGCTGTGCCACAACTTTGCTATATTCTTGTGCAAGCATTTGGCACCAGTGCTTTGCGGTGTGGGCTTCTGTTGGACACTATGCTGCACCTTGATGCTCTGGTCTGGCGACTGAAGCAAATCGGGGCCCCCAAGGCGCAAGCTTTCAGAGTCCAGTACACTCGTGGATCCATTAGACCCCACTGCTGCTCTTGTCACATCAGAACAACGTACATGCAGGAGTTCGTCCTTTGCCTCCTCTTGCTGATCTTCAGCAGGGATGATTTTCGCCAGGTTCCAGCCGGCATGCCGTTGTCAGCGATATCCTGCATGTGGGTTTAGGGTTTAAAGCCTTTATGTTGCCTGGCAGGACTATGATTTCCTCGAGTTCTTCGCGGGCTGTGGAAATCTTACAAAGGCTATGAGGAGGGAGAGGATGTGCAAGGCAGGGAAGTTTGATCTACTGTACAGGACCGAGGATCTTAAAGGCGGAAGTAATGTCATGGACATCACATCTGCCAGCGGCTTCCTGTCCCTTGTTTGTAATTAGATCGACTGATGGGACCCAAGAAATGCTATGAACCTTAAACCCACAACCCCTAAACCCCAAAACCTGCCCTATGTTTTCCCAAGGCTTGCTGTTTACTTCATCCTTCGAGGAAAGCCATCAGGCTTTCTGTGTTCATTCGCTATCAAATGTTCCAGCTGGACTCTTATCAATGCTGGGACGTCCTTCCGCACGGCCTGCACTCCATATGGGAATGTATGCTATAAATCCGTGTCCGAGGCTAACATGATGCTTGAGAGGACCGTGTGTGTGTGTGTGTGTGTGTGTGTGTTCAGTGCAGCTTCATGATAGCCCAAAGCTTTGGGATGTCAGTGTTGTGCAATATAGTTTTTAAAGGGGGGGTGTCAACGGCTCCTAGGGGCTTTGGCTTGAGACACATGAACACAATCGTTAAAGCCAACAGACCGTATATTGGAGTCCAAATACCTAAAGATTATAGTGCCTTGAGCCCATGTATTATGTAGATATAGCTCTTACCATTATATCCATGGTCCATACCTGTAGCTCTTGCTAACCTACCTACCAACTTATCGAACTATAGATATATATATATATATGTATAGCTACCTACCTGCCTAGCTAGCTAGCTAGCTACCTACCTACCTAACTGTCTACCTATGTACCTATATACCCACCTATACCTACATACCTATATATAGACACATTATATACCTATATATATATATATATATATATACCTATATACCTACATACCTACCTACCTACCTAACTACCTATGTGCCTACCTACCTAGCTACCTACCTATACCTGTAGCCCTATACATATATACACCTGTAGCATACCCCTCTGCTTACCTGCCATGGACGTTAAGCCTACAACCCTCAACTACAAAGCCTTAAACCCCAAAAGCCCCGCAATGCCTTCAGATCCAGGACCTGCCTCCTCATCATGTTGTGCACCGTCCTCGGCGGTGCTTGGCTTCTCGAACAGCCCTCTGGATCAGTGTTGGAATTTTACCCAACATGGAGGGCTCTTGTGATGGCCCACTATCGAGTTGCTGGAGACTATGCAGCCCCTAGGCAGAGCATTTGTACGGGATTTCACTGGTTTCGCCGCCCGGCACCCCGCAACCTAGGTTTGGCGAACTGCATGGTGGATGGGACACTACTCAGCGCCTACAGCAAAGCGGTTGTTTGCTTGGAGTAATTGTCGTGCCATCCAAAAGTTGAACCGGGGATCTCTGAGTCATGCTTGGAGATGCAGGGCATCTAGGGTCCAGACAGTGAAGCGGACCGTCAACAGTGCTGGCAAACGTTGCTTCACGGCAAATGCTGCCCTCAAGCAGACTGAGTGCCTCTTATGTACTTCAGGATCATACTATGCATTTATGAAAGACTGGTCCTTCTGTGTATGCTCTCGATAGCCAAGGCACTATCCCATGAAGTTTTGCCGCCGCTTGGCCAACCTCTTCCCCGAGCTGGTATCTGGTGCCTTAGGACAGCAGGAACTGCCTGCTGTGTTACCAAGTGCATTGGAAAGCTTCAATGCAATGGAATATGGTGAATCTATGGACTCCCCGCCGTTGTGGAGCTTCTTAAAGCTAAAGGAAGTGTTTAATTACCTGAGGGGAGGCAAGTCTCTGTCGGTGCCACCCGAGTGGCGCGAGGTGGTGCCTAAGGCCTTCCCAGTAGCACATGCTGCTATGTAGCAATGCAACCCAAGCTTCCGGCTCCGCTCTCAGGGCTTATATAGCATGCTTTAAGGGTTTAGGGGTTTAACGGTTTATATGGGATTATATATGGGGGGTTTATATGGTTCAGGGGCTTTGGGGTTTGGGGGTTCAGGTTTTCTGTATACAATCCATAGAAGGCTCCTGTAAATCTCTTACATTCACAGTACCCCACTGTATCCCTGCAAATGTAGGAAGCCAGGCTGTAGAAGCCCATTTCCCCAAACCCCGGAACGAAAGCAGCCCAGCCACGTGCTGCTGCACGTGTTTGAAGAGCGAGCCTGGGGCCAGGGCGGTTTGCTGAGTGCAATTGCATGTTTTCGGTGTTCTGGTCAGGGTGGTTTGTGCGTCCGGGAAGGGATCTAAGTGTTTCTAGCAGAGTGGAAGAGAAATGCTTGGGAAAGTTAGGTCGGTGGTTAGGAATAGCTGGGTCGGTATATATATTAATATAATCTTGTAGCGTTTTTAACATACTTTTGTTGGTTTTACACAGAAAGTACTTGGTGAAAGTAAGGTTGGAGGGCTTGAACCCGTATTTAAAGCGTATTAAACCCATATTTAACCCGTATTAACCCGTATCCTCCGAGAGCCCAACCCGTATTGCATACTCGACCTACTTTTGCCAACCCGTATTTAAAGCGTATTAAACCCGTATTTAACCCGTATTAACCCGTATTCAAAATATGGGTTCCCTATGTACCAAGCTCACTGTCGTGCAACAAGATTTCAACGGCTCTGTTCAGCGCCGGCCAGAAATTCGAGCAGCCGTGGAGGGGTGCAACCGTAAAGGAAAAGGTTCTTGCACTCGATATATACATGCTAGCTGGCCCTGTGGCAGTCTTGTGTGTTGCTTGACATTCTTCTACTGCACGAATCGAAGGACACGTCGGCTGAAGCCAGCAAGTTTCTAGAACTTCCGAGGGTTTGGGAGGATCGAGGCTCCATGTCTGATCCCGTGTCCTCGAAGCAGTGGAGCTGTGCGACGCTCGACAATGGCATCCTGCATGTGGAGAAGGAAGCCAAGCAAGAGCTGCACTCGGACGATGAAGCTGAACTTCTCAAACAACAGGAGGCATGCTGGATTGTGTCAATTAAACTTATGACACCTATACCTCCATTTCCCCTGATATCTGCTTCTGTCAGGAACTGGAGCTTGAAATCGCGAACGATGTGACAGCAGCTGCACAGGCATGTTTTTACCGAGTCTCCAACCTGATTTAATTATGCAAGTTCCCGCCTTCCAGGCGACGGCCGTGTCTCTGGAACCAGAGCAGAGCCGCCAGCTGCGAGATGATGGCTACGATGTTGTTGTAGAGCAAGCGACAACCTTAGATGAGGCACTCCCGGCTTCCAGGCTGCAAGCAGCGATGACGTTATATCGAACCATTGTCCGGTTATATGTGTGCTTCAAAAAACAATCGATGCATGAGGCTGCAACACAAGATCTCGCAGCTGCCGGCCCACCTACCTCGATGCTACTTCCTGATGATGATAGTGACGTGGAGGTGCCCCGGGGCATTTTATAGAGCCTTTTATAGACATGTGATACAAACCTCGCAAACCCCAAAGTCCATCCCATAATGCTGTCCGTTGCCGTCATTCCTGAATGCTGCCGTGACCCAGATGGTGGATGATGGCTCGCTGCGATCGTTCTTCGAGAACTACAAGCTGCCGCCCAAGGAGGAGCCTCAAGAGGAACCCGTGCAAGCGCCACCAGCACGACCGATCGCAACCCCAAGTCGAGCAATGAAAGCCGAGCCACCCTCGAAGCGGCCCCGATTGATCACTCGCCAGGTCCTTCGGTTGCAAGCTTGCATGGCACAGATCGAAAGGATTTCCATCGTGATTGCAACTGTATGCACTAAGGAGAGGCTGCTGTTGGCGGCCAAGTCCGCCCTCAATCGCTTCTGTAAGCCGAAGACTAAGAAGAAGCAGTTCGAGGCACCCCCGGAAGTCCGTCAAGAGTGGGAGAACGGCAACAAGACCCAAGTTGCGACGGTCCTGTGTGATTGCAACTTTGACAAAGCACCTTGGGTGCCATGCTTCGGCGGAATGGCAGTGACATGAAGTTGTGGGTCGTCTGTGTATAGACTATATTGTCCTGCCCAATCAAGGCTGCTTTTGTCT